TCATATCTGTGTCAGCTCTTTGAAAAGAGCTATCAAAATTAATCCCACTCCCCCACTCTCTCCCCATAGCCCTGCAAACTTGTCCTCCCCAAATAATTATCTACTTCTCTCTTAAAAATTGTCATCGAATCGGCTACCGCCACCCTTTCAGGTAATGCATTCCAGATCCGAATAACAAATGCAAGGATTACTATTATTATTATTATCGGTTCAGATCATGGAACAAACCAGTTGTTTTTCCAGCGAGTACAGCTCACCACAACATTGTGCACTGCAAGAATATATTTTTTCAAATAGAATATTTATTTTCCTAATGCATTCTATATTTTGAAGTAAATTCTTGCCACGTTTTACTTTTAGGATAACACTTATTTGCATTTGAGTTTGTGTGTGTATGTGTGCGAGCGCTATATTAAAACATCCTTACAGTAATTAGATTTCTAGGATTACACCACAAAGAGTATAATCAAGACAACTGTTCTTGATATTGCTGCAATTGACCCTTAATGTTGTGAAATTGCTTGGTGCATTGTGCATCTTTCATTACTGGCAGCACTTGAAGATACATGCAGAATTTAAATGTGCTGGCTTGTCATGCTTACAATCAGAGAAAAACAGGAACAAGAGGAGGCCATGCAGCCCATCGAGTCTGTTCCATCAGTTTATTAGGTTTTAGCAGATCTATTAATCCCAATGTCCCTCTCTTTCACCATACCATTTATACCTCTACTACCCAAGTATCTGTTCTATCTCTCTGTTAAACATCCCCTTTGATTTCACCTCTACAGCTTGCTGGGGTAGAGCATTTCCTATCTTCACAAACCCTCTGTATGAAAAAAAATTTCCTGACCTCAGTTCTAATTGTCTTGGTTCTTATTTTTAGGCTTTGCCCCTTGTAATGCATCTCTCTCCCAAGGGGAAGAGTTATCCACTTTCTATCCTTTTATTATTTTAAATACCTCAATCAAATCACCTCTTAACCTCCTCTGTTCTATAGAATATAAACCCACCTTCTGAAATAGTGTTTTTCTGCAACACCATTTATGATTGTAAATGTATGTTTTTTAAAAAAAAATCTGTTGAGGTAGGAATGATCGCATCGGTCTGGGCTGGGTTGGATTTGGAGTCCCACTATGCCACTAGATGATTGATTGTTTTGCAAATTTACTCTAAAATGTGATATTCAATGATTGTATACACTTTCAGGAGGGAGGTGCTCAAAGGCACATTCAAAGAGGTGTGCACAGGTATAGGGAGGGAAAGAGGAGTTCAGTTTTAGGTTCGATTTTTTCTTATTGTCACACTTCAGTCTAAAATCAGTCTTGGTATTGTACTTTTTTTTTTACTTCTAGCAATGTTCTGTTTTCTTTTTAAAGTTTACATGAAACGAGACACAGGGTTGATTTGCTATGTTCCAAGCTGGTGTTACTGGGAGAATCTGATGGGGGGACTGAGCTGCAAGATGATTTGTTTTAGTGTGAAAAACAGTCCAAAGCTGATGCTCCAATGGAAACCCAGTGGGTACAAGGCAGTTCTAAATAAAGTTAATGCACAGACAGAGAATCATATTGGAACAAGTGCTGAAAGAAGACAATGTAAGACCGTATCCTAGAGCAGGGGTTCTGAAACTTTGCCATAGTGAGCCAAGAAAAAAAACAATTGCGCCTCGCCACAGTTCAAGACAACACAAAGAATTGAAAATCACATATTCTGCAAAAATACAAACAACAAAGTAGAAGGGCTGTGATAATTACAGACGCCAATAAGAGTATGAGTGTCAAAAGCACCAAGTCTACTTCACAAAGCACCCTCCGTGCTATCCCACGGCTCTCCCCCAAAAGAACACAAATCACAACAGCCAAAACAGCACAAACACTCCAGGCAATCACAGCCCCAAGACAACTACAGACCATGTCAGTCCAACCCCATCAACGGGAAGAGTAAGCCTGCCTTCTAACTCTACAAAGTGGAATTCAGGGTTACAGTGTAGAAAGCAGAGGCGGGGTTTGGCTGACGTGGGAAGTCCCATCACGGGGTCTGGCTATTGGGGAAGTGCCCCCACCCCTCCCGGGATGTGCAGCCCTGTGAATCCAGGGACTGTTGGGAAACACGCAATAGGCATCTCTCCTGGCTCACGCACGCGCCCCCAGTTTGAAAACCTCTGTCCTAGAAGATAGTAATAAATAGTAATCTTTGCATTTAATATAGCGCATTATCATATCATCAAAATGGCTAAAAGTACTTACAGGATTTTACTGTAAAATTTTACTGTAAATTTTTACTGATTTTATTTGTAAATGAAAGTTCACTTAAACAGGCAGGCAGGCCCTTGGTTTAATGCCTCATCTGAAGGATGGCACATGTTTGACAAAGCAAGACTCCCCATTGGAGTGCCAGCCTGCAAGTTTAATGTCCCAAGGTCGGACTTGAACTCACAAACTTTTGAATTAGAGATGAGATTGCTATAACCGAGCCAGTTGACATACACATTTCTTTAATAATTGTCTTACAATTCTGTGGATACAGTTTTAATAATAATATTATTTATTATTATTAAAGCTAATATGGTTTTATTTATGAAGTAGGTTCAATCAAATATTTCAGAATCAAATGTGTCATTGCACAGCAGGAAACTGGATGCAACATTACAATACATTTCATTGCAAAATATTATTTCAATAGCTGAACATCTTTTTATTAAAATGAGGAAAATGGCAATCATTCACGCATGACCCCCATATAAGAAATACGCTTTGGGCCATTTGCCTGTCATTTCTATTACATGTACCGTAAGCAGCTTAGCAGTAAATCAATTTAAAGAACTGAAGAAGTTAAATACATTATTATTATAATGGGATAAAAGGCAATGAATGCCGTGCAGCTCCATTAGGTTTCTTTGTTAAAGAAAAAAAGCCAATTATCTGCAGCTGTCAACCGTGAAGACCCAGAAGCATTTAAGCCAACATTAGCCTCCACCTGACTTTTTTTTCTCTAAAATAACGTAATTTCCTTTTTTTTTACTGAAAAAGTGTGATAAATACCCCACACAATAAAAGCTGCATGATGTCAGAAAACAGTTGATAGGAATAAATTATTCCTTATAAGTTTCAATGCAGTTAGCTAAAATATGCTTACTGTAGCATTAGACTTGCCGCATAATGCTTTTGGCTTTATTCAGAAAATGAAAGCAGAAGGAAAAAAGGAGGATTTTTGAGGAATGATCAGAACTATTTTTAAAAAATGTAAAACTAAACTACAAACCCAAGCTGCACTTAGCATATTTGAAAAGCAATCAGAAGTAGAAGGGATTGCCAATAACTTCACAAGGCTGAAAAGTTTCAAGTTTCAAACAGTAACTGAGAATCTTGATAACCTCAATGTCTTCATCTGCTAAATGGCTGCTTAAAAGAAACAACAACTTGCATTTATACGGCGTCCTTCACACGGGGTAGAGCTGAAATTATAAATGATTTTTTGGGGGATCAGCTGAGTGTATGACACATGTGAAAACCCATCACCGTGCTTAAGAGTATCCAAACCAAGCTCATATTTCCATGCATCCCACCTACACACGGAAATTCCAGAGATAGATTGTTATTTATTATATTATGTTATATATTATGTTATAGATTGCAAGCTTTTCTGCTGATTGTCCAGCTAGGACCACCCTAGGGTTTTGGTTTGCAGGGCTAACAGGAGCTGAGTGGGATGACTTCCTGCCCCCAGTGACTGGTCTGCCCTTCCAAGTCCTGCCGATGAGCCATCATCAACAGCTTTCATCAGCAGTGCCCTGGAATACTGCGGACCTGCCAGGCTCAGCAACCGGACTACCGAGACCGCCACAGAGGGCTGGCTCGATTCTGACATTCTGTTGCCAGGCATGTCACCTTGGAGCCAGTTCAGCTCAAAGAGACCCCACTTACCTCCTCCCCAAGGTTGGTGATGGTGCCACAACATACTGAGAACACAAAGCACTACTGCCAACCACAGTAAACCAACCCACCACCAAAACGGATTTATATATCAAATGTAAACAAGTTAAATGCTTTATATTTTGCAGATTCTGTTGACAATGCGACTAAAATAATTTGGCATCATCTGACAATTAAATAGCTTTGGAAAGACAGTACAACATTTGACATAAAGGCAAACTCATTGGTAGCAAAAGAGAAGGAACAGAGACAAACAAATAATTTGACAGAGAGAAAACACCATTATAAGTGCACACCAATAAAGGTTCATAAATTTACTCTTAAGTGGAGAATATTATGTGCTTGCTGTTAAATTTGGTAAATTCACCCCACAAAGAGAAAACAACTCCAAAGTCTTAGAAATCTAAGATATGAGGAAAGGATAAGGAAGTTGAATTTGTTCCTTTGGGAAAAAGGACTACAAGGTCACCTGGTAGATCATAAAAGGGATAAATTGTTTATTATAGTGCAGATTTCAAACACGAGGGGACAAGTTAGAAAATTAAGCGCTAATTTAATACTGTTTCTCAACTTCCACACAATCTTACATTTTCAGACATTTTAAGCTTTTAAGGACTTAGTTTCCCCACTACGAAAAAAGGGCAGATGATCGGGTCATCAAGTCGCTGCTGACATCGGGAACGGAGGATGGTGGTGACTCAATAATCAGGAAATCGGCCTTTTAATTTGGTGCTGGCGAAGCACACAGTGAATGAGCCAGCTGGCTGCTCACATGTGCAGTGAAACTAGCCATTGTGTCTCGCATGGTTTGGAATTGTATGGGATCTGACGAAGCTCCCTTGTATTTTGGTCCTCATATAATGGTTAGGACAGTAGCAAATGCAAACTGATGGAATCTCAACAACAAGGCTCGATCATGCACCTCCTTAACCACTCTCCAAGAAGTAGTTGTCTTGAGAAGAGTAGATTGAAAAGGTAATAAAATAATTTGAAAAAAGGTGGAGTTTCATACATATACAAATAAAATATTTCACAGCAGAAATTAGTAACTGAAAGTTCTCTACTCACTTTCTGACTCTGTTCTTCACCTCTGGGTTCTGGCACTGGAACTGACAGGAAGCTGAGGGTGGGGAGTGCGGGAAAGAGCAGAGGTCAGAAGTGCAAACCATAGAAATTGCATTATTGCACAACACTGGGAAAAATTTTTCAAATATTCTTATACAATGTGATGTCTATAGAGGAGAACTGATTGTAGGTTGCCAAAAGCCGAGACTTGGACCCCAGAGTTTGTATTGTGGTACAGCTGGAGTTTAACCAGGTAAAACGATGTAGACTGCCATTGAGAATACTGTCTGTCAAGCTCCCCACTGCTTGTCCTGCTAGAACCATCGTATTCTTTTTGATTTGCAAGGTTAATAGGAGCTGAGTGGGAGTTGTACAGCAGATCCGCCTGGCTCAGGACCTGGATTATTGAGACCACCACAGAGAATTACTCAATTCTGATTTTCTGTTTCCATTGCTTGGGGCTAGCTCAGCTCCATGGAAACCCCACTTACTTCCCCTCAAAGGATGGGAGTCACTAGTTAATCATTTGATATTAACAAATGAGGCCTGAGCCCTACTAGGTGGATGGTAGATAACGTTTATGTCTAGGTGTTTTTTTCAGTCAGCCAGGTGTCTGACATATACGGAAACCCATCACTGTGCTTAAGAGTATCCAAGCCAAGCTGATAATTCCATGCATCCCACCTACACATGGAAAACCCAGAGACAGATTGTTGAAATGGAATGCTCACTCTCTCCCTGGAGGAATGCATCCTGCTTACCTAATTCCGGAAGGTATTAGGCGCAGGTTAGCAAGAGCCAAAGCTTGGGGACCACAGACTGTGCAATGGGGTACTGATGGAGTCTAAACAGCTGAAAAAAGCACAGCTTGCCATTGATATTGCTGTTTGGCAAGTTGCTTATCCAGCTAGAAATACCCTACCCGTTAGGGCTTTGGCTTCTAGGGTTAACAGGAGCTGAGTGGATTGACTCCCTGCCCCATTAGTCAATTTGGTTCTTTACAGGACAACTTATGATGTGCTAGCCACCTTGATGTTCTTGAGGCCCAAGTCCAATGCTCTGTACCAGGCTTACTCAGCACCAGCTGCTTAATCCAGAATCTCATGCAAGGGGCCTTAACAAATGGACGTGCCTGCTGTGAAGCAGACTCTGCCATCAGCGTGCTTAACAGGGCAGTGTAGTTTGGAGCCCTCCCTCCCTGTAGATGCTTCCTGTGTTTGCCACAAATCCACCTCACTTTTTCATCCTGGAATTTGCAGATTGGTCAGAAAAAGCCTCTCTGCTGCATCCCCAGAAGCTCAGTTTCATAAAGGATCTGTTTGCCCACAGATCTTGTATGTCACAAGCTTGATCTGCATTGGGACCTTGTTGTCCTTGAAGAGGGGTGAGCATGACCAGAGTGCCCTTCACCCCTTCTCAGCGTGGTCCTTCAGGACAGTGCCCAGGCTGAAGTTGGTGTCCACCATGACCCAGAGGTACTACCGATAGGAGTCAACAATTGGGACTGATGCCCCCTGTACCTTCCAATCAATTGCCTCGATATCTTCCCTTGGGCTGTGCAGAACCATGATTCTGCACTTGGGAGCGCCCATCACCATGTCCCACTGATTGGCCCAGTGTTCAAGAAGCGCTGCAATCGTGTCAGAGAAGCCTGGAACAGATATACCAAGTCCTTCCCCCTTGATAATACATAATAATAATCCTTGCATTTGATATAGCGCTTTTCACGTCTTCTAGACGTCCCAAAGTGCTTCACAGAATATACTGTAAAGTGAATTGACTGTATATTTGTGGGTGAACGCGGCAGCCAATTGCACACAGCAATGTCCCACAAACAATCGTGGATTGAAAATAACCAATTTATTATTGTTTTGTTTTTTTGGAGGGATTATTATTAGGCGTGTGGAGTAAGGAAACTTGCCCAAGGTTTCGCCCTGCCTGGAATTGAACTCGGGTCTCTCACTTGCAAAGCGAGTGCTCTAACCACTGAGCTACAGGACTCCACGATGCCATCCAACACATCGTTGATGAACACATCGAACAGGGAAAGTGACAATGGACAGCCATGCTTTACCTTCTTTTCCAGAGGGATGGGCTCAGTAAGTCCACTGTCGACCCTTACACAGATCTTGGAGCTGGAGTACACATTCTGGATAAAATCCAGGATTTGGCCATGTACTCCCATGGCTTCCAGTTTCATCATGAGGCACTTGGTTGAAAGCCTTGCAAAAGTTGATCAACGCAACATAAGTGGGTTTCCCCTCAGCCTTACGATGTTGCGATCTCATACAGAGCCACAACCGGTCCCACACATTCCTCACAAGAACGGAAGCCAGAATGCTCCTTCCTGATCAAACCAGGAGCCTCCAATGCTCCAATGATATACATGCAATGACTACCAGAAGCACTACTTTAAGATCCACTGAAATCAGTGAGATCTCTCCGCAGTTATCGGTTACACTAGGGTCACCCTTCTTGTGGATAGACACCACAATTGGACTCTGGAGCACTACGGGGTGCGTGCCTCAAAGAGAATCTTGTTGACCAGGGCTCGGAGGGCACCTCCAAGGCAAATTGGGGGTTCCTGGCTTGGACCTGTACGATCTTCAGCGTTCTCCATCCTCAGAGCAGCTTTTAGGAACTCAGCATTGATGCCGTCCGCACCAGCTGCCTTGTCATCGTCCTTGACTTTTTTTTAGCTTCACGCCGTGCTTGGTCGTAAGGTGCCTTTGCTACAGTTCTAGCTTGCGCCGGGGAAGGTTCCAGAATCGCTTTAAAAGCCTTCTGCTTTCGCCTAATGGCTCTCCTTCCCTTTGTCGTTACCCTGACCGGGCCCCGCTTCCAAGATGGCTGCCTTGCAGGCTGTAGCTCCAGTTTCTTTACAACCTCAGCTGCAGAAGAAGGACTTGGTTATATCTTCAATCGTCGAGTCTGCACTGTCAGCCCTCACGCTGAATCGGCCCCAAGCTTCATGTTCGGCAATACCCTTACATGCTGGAGTACCTCGATACATTCACTCGTAGCACAAGGCACACCTACGGATTCAACCTGACAATCACCCCATGTCACAGAGCCAGTAGAAGACCAAGAACCGCCTTCTTAACACTGAAGGTGACGAGCCAGTGGTCAGAGGTTTCCCAGGAACGTCAAACAATGCAATTGGAAAGTCTAAGACGTGCCGATCCACTCACCACCACGTGATCGATTGCTGTTCCATTCTGCACTCCACACCAATGCTGTGTAATTGGTGAACCTCAGAATGGAAGTAGAGAGCACCGCTGTCGAAGGTTATTTTTTTTCCTCCACCTTTGAAGCTCCGGAGCAATCTCAAGGAGCAACGGGCAGTCAGAGAAATGTTGTGCGACGCAATCCAGCAAGGTGCCCACGGCCTTAAGGACCTCCGGTGCTCAACACCAGACAGCCTTTGGGGAATGTACACTGATCCCCCAAGCCAGGTGCAGATCCCCTGAAAAGTATCTTCTCCCAGATGAGGTTAGCAGAGGACACTCTGCCTTCCACTGCCAGCAGTCCTGGTTAATGATCAGGGACATGCCACGTGCACTATTTCTCTTTGTGTCCATCGGTACTTCAACTACCTGGTAGCCATGGAAACGCAATCGATGATCACCCACCATCCCACCCGTTTCCTGGAGAGCAAGAACACAAATTCGCTCTTGACATTCCATGTGGCAAAGGTGAGACCGAGCCTCTGAGAGATGTTCTTACAATTCTGATGCAGTGAGACTGCCGTGGCAGGTTCAGGTTGTTGGTCAGTACAGCATCTGACTGGGCGCACATATCATCCACTTTTGTGTCGACAAAGTGAAATCTATGTTCCACTATGGTACTGACTATTATTTAATAGTGAATTATTGAATCAACCTATGGCTCATCATCATGCATTTTCCAAGTCTTCTTCAGTAACTACCTATTTGTCAGAAAGAACTGAACTTTGTGTACTAGACCAAGAAATTAGTCAATGAGAGAAATAACCTAAAATTATCCCACAATCTTAGTTAAGAAAATCAGCAAAATGTTTATAACAAAGATGGGGGCAGGGGCGGTAGAAAGAAACTAAAATAAAAGTTAATACAGGCTATCTTAAATTTGTGTCAGGCCTGCATAGGTCACATTGGAGAACTGCATATAGTTTTGGTCTTGTTAGTTCAAAACAATTTACTCAGCTGTTAGGAGCACCATATTCCAAAATTAGCTACTAAATAATTCCAGAATTTAGGCGACTGAGCTATGAAGAAAAATGACCACACTAGGACTTTTCTCTCACGAAAAGGAAAGACTGAGCTGGTACATGATGAATTCATATTTAAAATTCTGGAGAGTTTGGAAGTTTAAGTGTCTGAAATTGTAACAAGTTAGAATTTGCTTCCCTGCCATAAAACGACCAATCCCATATTATTGCTAATATTGATCCCATTATCCTTCAAACCCTTTAGAGTGCTCTAGTAGGATTTCTTGCACCAGGATCCAGAGTCTAACAGGAATCCATTAAGTACTAAAAAACAGTAAGATCATTGCAGCAAATACCACACAATCTGGATTCTGTTGTAATACAATGCACAAATCAACTATTCTTACAGACAAGGAGCCTGGATTTACTCTACCTGTCAACATTTCATTGTGGAGGGAATAGCTGTCATTTGCTTGCTACTTGACCAGAGGCATTCATATGTTATTGCTGCTAGAAGCTGATGGAATCAAGATTAATGTTAAGACTCAAACTGACTCAAAATGTCAGTCTGTTCAAATGAGCATGGGGACATATTTTCATACTTCATATAGAATCACAGAATTATACAGCATAGAAGGAAGCTATTTGGCCCATTGCATCTGTGCCAGCTCTTTGAAAAGAGCTATCCAAATCAATCCCACTCCCCCGCTCTCTCCCCATAGCCCTGCAAACTTGTCCTCCCCAAATAATTATCTACTTCTCTCTTAAAAGTTGTTATTGAATCGGCTTACACCACCCTTTCAGGTAATGCATTCCAGATCCCAATAACTCGCTGTGTGAAAAAATTTCTCCTCACCTTCCCTGTT